GGGTCCCCGTACCTGCACCGATCCTGCCCGTGGCCCCGCTGACAGCGCCGAGCAGCCGCCGAGCTCCTGCCACCACCGCACCGAGGGGGACTGCTGCCACCCGTCCTGCCCCACGCAGGGACCGTGGGGACAGCCCATGCCACACCTCCAGCCCTGGCCTCCACAGGGACCTGCCTGCCCTGCCCGCCTCCCATCCTGGCTGCCTGCCTCTCCCTGCCTGCTGCCAGGGCACCCTCGCTGGGCACCCCGCAGGGCTCCCCCTCCTCGCTGGGCAGGGCTCAGAACCTGCCCGGATTTATCATCTTGGCCTGGCTCGATTCAAAACCACCCGGAGCCGCCGCTGCTGCAGGAGCTGTTCTTGTGGGATCTGCCAGGGGATGGGGAAACTGAGTCACGGCCAGGGCGTCCCCACCACTGTCCCAGTGGAGAGGCAGGCGGTCCCAAACTGGGTCTGAGGGCACCGGGTGGGCACGAGCCTCTCCAGGGCGGTGTTTAGGCAGAGGGCAGGCAGGTTTGGGTGGCGAGGGCTACACCAGGGCTGAACTGGTTTCACTGGGGAGTGCCCTTGTCCCCCCCCAGAGCCCCTGGGGTCTGGCAGCAGGTCGGTGGGGCTCAAGCTGTACCTTGAAAACTGAGGAAGGTGAGAGCAGGGGCCAGCTGGAGAAGAGGCCGAAGGCACAAGTGAACTGCGCCACCTCCGAGCAGCCCCGAGGTGACAGCGCTGGGACTGCAAACCCAGCTGGGGACAGAGGCCGCCTCGTTAGTGACAGCAGCTAACGAGATGAGAGCCAGCCGAGTGTCTCCCTGCTCTCCCACCCCGCCCCGCGCTCATCCCGCTCGCCCGCAGAGGCCCCACCGTAGTGGTCCTGCCTTGGCCGTCCTTAGATTAATTGCTCGCTGCAATTAACCACAGAAACCCGGAGGCAATTAACCAAGCGCTGGCCCGACAGTCCATAAAGCATTTACTGCGCAGTCATGAATAACTCGGTCGAGGTCCATAAACATCACAGCTGCACCGTGTCCCCCCGTGTCCCCACGGGGCGCTGGGCGAGCACCTGACCCGCGGCGGTGGGGTGCGGACTGGGGTGCATCCCCCATCCCGGGGCTGCTCCTCACCTCCTGAAAAGGGGAGGGAAAAAAAACCTCACCCAAGCCTTGCCTAAGGCGCTGGTGCTGTGAGAGAAGCCAAATGAATGAGTTATTGTTAACTGTCATGCAAAGTTGGTGAACAGCAGCGTGTGTCATTTTGAAATAAGAAGCGGCGGCTGCCAAGAGGGTTTCAGCTCGAAGGGAGAGGTCTGGGTCACAGCGGGTGGGACGGGACGTTTCGGTGACCTGGGCTGAGCAGATGGTGGGAGCGGGGCAGCCGCTGGAGCAGGGCCGGGACCAAGGAGTCTCCGTTCTTGACCTTGACCGTGCTGGGGTCCGACCAGTCCCGCTGGGAGCAATCTGTTGCA